AATAACAGCAGTGCAAGATGCTAAATTTAATCGAAGCTCAGAACCAACTTTTATATTTTGTTTATAAAACATCAGAGGATGATCGCAAAATGGAAAGTAATAATGATTCACTACTTTAGCATTCACCACACTATTCTGGAGACAAATATAATCATGATAATCATACCTTGCTGCTATCATGTCAGGACGTTGATTCAACTTGATCTAACATGTTTGTGCAAGAATGTCTATATCTTTTACGGAAAACTAAATAATTAATCTAAAATACAGTGCACAGTTACATTCAGCCATGATTAACGGTCGGACACTCTGAACAAAAAATATCATTAAAACTGATACGCAACACTGTCTCATTCATTCTGTGCATTGTTGGGAAATATCGACGTGCAACTCATGCAGCCGTTTTAGCTGAATTGACTGTAATTAATTTCGTAGAGACTGTGAAGTATTCGGAAAATAGCAGAAAAAAATTAATTAGTATTCAGTAACCCTCATGAGTTTCTAAATACATTTTACACTATTCTATAGGAAGCTGTCAGATCTACCTATCTGTGAAATAACGCCTGAAATACCGTCGCAGTTAAAACTGAGAGGTTTACAGCGCAAATTAGATGAAATTTGTGATCGTAATCAACCAGTCCTGCCTTATAACTTTTTCAAAAATACCAACTACTACATTGTTTTAACATATCTGTTAAACTACAAAATATGAAATTAATAAGTGCGATTTACTTGAAATATTGTACAATTACAAAAAGTTAACAGTCTATTTATAACGTTGTGATCTAAATTAAATACGAGCATTTCCAACATGAGTGCAAAAGAGCACAGAGTCAAGAGCTTCTGAACATTGTCACCGTAACTTAGCTTTTGCAAAAACTATCAACTTCGATACAGAATTTTCACCCATGCTGATTTCTTCCTGTTTGCAGACTATTTTGAAGGCAGGCAGAGAAAGAGTGCTTGAGGTAGTTATCTCTTGTTTTCACTAATCTAAATTATTCCTGATTCGCAACTAAATGATAATTACGTAATGCTTCTGCATAATTGTCTTTCATACTGCAAACGACGCCAATGTTGTTATAGATGAGTTTGTGGATCTCAGTACTGTCTGACTGCATTAACACTTTGTAGTATCGTTCAACTGTATCAAATTCGCGTACTGTGCATACAGTCAGTTTCCCTAGAGTCTGGCCAGTAACAGTCATGAAATGTTGTTCTAATAAATTGTTTAATTCATCATGTTCCTTTCGGCTGTAAGTTAACTGTATGGACCATAGACTATCGTTCAATGATTTAACTGAGTGTATTCTAAATACAGATCCGATCGAAAATATTATTTCATTCTTGTCATGAGAATTTAAATTAGCAAACGGTTTCATACCACCATGTATACTGACGACTATTTTGAAAATAACTGATCTAAGATATACTTGACTTGAACTATTGTGGGCGTAAGTATGAGCGATATTTCTTGAAAGTGACGTTTGATAAAAACGAATTTATTGAAATAAATCCACCAATATTGTCTTTTAACAACTGCAATTCATCAGTGGAAATCAGTTCTCCTCGATAAACAATAAAATGATCTTGTTGGGCGCGTAATGTCTGAATAAAAAAAGGATAGTTCTGTTCTATTTGACTGTGTAAACCAATAATAAAAAAACGTAATCTAAATAATGCTTCTATATGTTCTGTTCGAAAAGCTTTATTTATCAGACGATAGATGGAATTATCTCATGTGTACCAGTCGATGGCCGTATATGTAGAGCAGAAATCAATCAAATGAACTTGCTGTGATTCCATATGTTGTGAGCAATCTTCGGATATTGCTTCCTCTTTTGCAACGTCTGTTTGCTTCATATCCAGTAAAACTTCGAGTAAACATCGAAAATAAATGAACTGAACCTGATTATTCACATAGTCATTTATAATTTTACCACTAATGATGCTACTAGATGTATTATACAATAGTTGTTTCGCATGTAGCTCAATATCGTCGGTTATTAATTTCTCTAATTGGTTAAAATCAATGAAATTTCCACGAATTTTCTGATTAGTCACTAATAATTTGTCGGTAGAACGATATAAATATATGAAAGTAACTTGTGAGAATTTATGCAATTATAGCAAATTGTAGCACGATTTTCTACTTGAGAATAGTAAAATCATTCTTTTAGTTCGGAAGATTTCGAGAAAACCTTTTCAAAAACGAAAGTATTTTCTGTTGACTTTTAGGGCTTTTATTGAACTGCTTAATATTGAGCAGATAAAACAGAGTACGTCTTGGTATTCTGACATAAATTTCCATCGATCTTGACTCAAGATCGATGGAAACCCCAGTCAAGATTCTTGACCGGGCTATGAATTTGATTATGATGGAAACCCGGTCAAGATTCTTGACTGGGTTATGAATTTTCTAATTTCACTCAAAAGTGGACAAAAATGGATAAACTCGCCTAGTACAGGCTTTCGCTAGGTTTTGGAAACTTTTTGAAAAATAAATGTTTCCGCAAGATTCAGCGTGGTCGATTACCTATGTTTCCATTCCGTTCTGGCATTACCATACCTAAAGAAATATTGGTTTTGGGACTCTGAGAAAGTCAGATGCCACACTAGGCTAAGAAAAACTTAAGAGTTCGCTTAGTTTCCATTTTAGAGAAGATGCTTTGAACTATGAATAAAAATTGATAGATTGATATCTCAGTTTCTGGAAATTCGAACTGGTTTTCGAAACATCTCCTATAAATTCGTTCTTTCTAATGCAATGTCTGAAAACGGCACTTCATGTGCTACGCTTCAGTGCTCTCATCGACGACTGAGTTTACAAGGTTTTTCAATCACTGCGCATGCGAAGATCAAGACTTTTGAAATCGAAGAACAAGAAGGTGATAACAACGTTATCACACTCGATGGTCCGATCATCAATAACAGACCTGGAAATGAGCAGGTGTGTATTTACAATTTGATCGTTCATTACAGTTTTATGAAGTTAAATCTTATGGTCAAAACGTACACATATGTTTTTATCGAGTTTTAACAGAAGAATATGGCAGGCGATCAGGAGAAATCGTTCATTTTTTTCAGTGGGTAGCCGTCAAAAATAAGTCTACGCGTATATGTAGTCGTAGACTATAGTGTACCCATAAATATAGGTCAATATTATCCTCTTTTCTTTTTTTGTCCCTAGTTTTGTTGGATGAAAGAAATTGTGTGTTTATGCAGAGCTTTATTTAAAAGGGCAAATAACCCTTGCTGATTCATCTCTGAGGTGCTGACAGCATAAAAAAGAATTTACCAGTAAATTATCTAATTTTGTTATATGAAGAAAGAACGGATAGATTACAAAAAAAGGTTAACATAACGTTGTCGTAATAAAATGTATGGATTTCACCTTAATTTTAGAACACGCATTTCGAATGACTAACATAACTTTCTTGATCACTTTTCGGAACATCATTGTCAGAAAATCCCAAATTCTACATTTATTTCTTCCAGCGAAATCAGTAAAATTAAATGGGAACGCAGCCATCTTACTAACTATAATGTTTGATATTGATAGCTCATTTTAATCCGTATAATCATTCTCACGTTGCTCAAAAATCTCCATTGAACCAACCTTACGTGGGAGATTGAGGATATATATTAACAAATGAAAATGACTATGCTGTCATTCATCTTACTGATCCTATTATTTGATTAGATGATGGAAACGAATCGTAGAATTGTTATTCATCAAAGATGTTGGAAATTGCGGTCTTGAACAATATCCTGATTCAAAAACAGCCAGCAACTGGTGACATGGGAAGCGATTTATACACTGCATAAGTTGCATTATTACTTGCATGATTACTTAGTACATTGAGTCATTCATCTCATCAAATGTACGAATTTATGTGTCGTTCGTTAATCAACACTTTAGATGCATGATATTGAACCGTCCGTTTTTGTTTCACGTGTTGTTGCTCCTTTCCCCGAAAATATATACAATATTAAATTTGAAAAAGGCGGACACATTCTGTTTGTATATAGAGTATGAAAAATCCAATGACAACAGCAAGAATTGAATAAAATAATAATCATCGTAAATATCGATTGAAACATGGAGCAATTCGTTCAATAATAGAAAAAGGTTTAGAATAGAATTTTTTGGCCCGAAGTTATGAATTAAAGAAAAATTCTCGTCCTAGTAGTAAGGAATCACTTTTTTCAGGCTGAGTTAAAAGGTAAAATAGCGCTAAGGTTACAGTGCTGACTAAGATATTTCTCATTTATGTCTAAGCTCTTCTCTTTTGAACACCTAAAACTTATAAGCCTTTCGAGCCGCATGACTCTGCCATCCGTGTTCTTCAGATTAAGCAAGTGAACTCTGAACCTTTCGGATAAGCACTTGCCACAAATCGCCTTTCAATCTCTCATCCTTCGACAAAATCGAATACCATTATGGAAGTCAAAACGTGCGTAAAACCGTTTGCACTGTATTTTGGTTAAAACATGTGACTGATCAACAGTTGTACCGAACAACTTTAGCGAAGCTGTCCCATTCCTGTCTGTCACTTAATTAATAAACACTTGCATGCCAACTTAAATATTGTATTTGATTCGTTGTTAAAATAACATAATCAAATCTTAACATGTCGTCGGCATAATACAAATGATATCAGTATGATTCAAAAATGGAAATAGTTGATTTTACCATTGGAAATATTGTTAAATATGTACAAAACATTTTCTGTAATACTACTCATGCTTTTAGTATCAAATGCATCAATATGAAGCATTAGTCATATACCAAATATTCTGCAATTGATCTGTAATAGGTGATCAAATACAGCGGTCAGAAACAAAACAACAACGATAACGTTACTTATACAGAGATAATTGAATGGTTAGCCAGAAAATATTTGAAAATGTTTCTAGTTTAGATAACATGTCAAGATGAAATGAATCAAAATTGTGGTGAAATATTTTATTTAATCGGCGATGTTGAATTTTAATCAATGGAAAAAAGTAGTTCACCATATGAAAACGAAAATGAATGTGATAAAGATTATTATTTTAATCATTTAAGTTTTCAGGAATATTGTGATGCTGGACATTTGGTACTGAATTTAAACAGCACAGTTGATTCTATTCGAAGCAATAAACATAATTTTGGATTTCTTCTTGCCAGAATCCTTGGTAAAAGATTTATTCTGTCAGAATACAAGCGGAAAAATATTCCATTATAATATTCTAAACTAAAACTATCGAAAAACACAAAATCAATTTTGTACGAGTAGAGAGAGGTTCAAACACATGAACTCAGTTTTGCAGCAAACTGCAAAACTAAATTTACTGTTCCGTGTCTATATTCTGTACAACGATTGAAGTTGTGCAATCGACTCGATGTTATCAGTAGTAGTCTTATTGGTATGCTTTTTGTGTTTTCGTTGGTATAAGCTTTATTCTGTCACAACCCATGCAGATGAAAAAAGTCGTTGGAGAGGTGCGGCGAGTACTCGGAAATATGCAATCCGTCGAGGGCTCGAACCCTCGATATAAGCTTTCGAGGCGTATCGATTTCGAGCCGTCGAATAGAGATGTTCGGGACTTCCGAGCTCTCACTCTCTTGAGGGTGCGACGAGATCTCGAAAGTACTCCTCGATAGCTTATATCGAGGGTCCGAAGTGTCATTTTCCGAGGGTTGAAGTCCGCGGCGAAGGCCCATCGAAAGCATATTTCCGAGCACTCAAAGTGCCCCTCAAACCACTGATTGGGAATACATTTTTTGCATTTTTAGATGAAGTATTAAACAATAAGAGAAATGCTTTACTACAAACATTATTTGAAATTATTTGTAGTGCTCCGCCAGAGATATTGTTGGATATAGACACATGAAATTAATTATTCATTGTCGAGAAGGGACAAAAAAGAACGGAAATTGAGTGAAACTTTTGCATTGAGAAACAAAGTATGCAGCAGATTAGCACATAGTTTCTCGGATATATAAGAACAGTTCGGATAAGAATAACTATATAGAACAGCTATCATCCTCAGCTGACAGTGATGAACATGAGCGAATTACAACTTCATTATACCGGTGACGTTCCATGCATGTTTTTGTCATAAAACCTCTTCTGCACAACGAGTTTTCACCTGTCTTTTTCATTTTGTTTGTTGTTGATTATTCACTTCCGCTTTCTTCATTCACTTTCGATAACCAGAAAAATTTCCCTCTTGAAATAGGTGAAACAGGTTTTCGAAATGATCTTTGTTTTAATCTCGTTTATTGATATTAGAGTAGAAAATCCGAAAAGTACAAGCTACAAATGCAGATCGAGGTTCCATACACATGTGGAAGTGACCTTTAGAAAACCACATCACGCACCGATTGATCTTTTCCCTGGATAGATAGACGTTTGAAAGGGATGCATCTTATTGTTTCTTGATAAATCACTAGATGCTCTCGGGTCAAAGAAAACGGCATGTTAACGGCTAGTTAACCGACCGCTAACGGTAAGTTAATGCACCGTAAACGGACCGTTTTTAGTTCCTAACTGGACTGTTCTTAGACCCTAAAACTGAAAAAAAAACTTTTAGGGTCTTAAATAGATCGTTCCGAAAACGTTTTCTTACTATTTACTGGCCGTTTTTTGTCGTGTTGAGAACGTTAACGCGTCGTTTTTTGTGCGACGGTGAACTGGCAGTTAACTTGCCGTGTTTTGACCTGGGCTATTAAATAATTAATAACTAAACGTGTTTCAACTAGATGTTCTTATTGATACATCTGTTTTACCATCAAATGTAATGTCATTACGTGATGATAAATTTATTGATTTTGTCAAAGCAGATGCCGGTGATAGTGCTGCAGCTCCAGTTGAAATACAAGGTATGAATTGAGCAAAGTCATTGTTGATGACATCTAGCGTTTATTCTATTATGGACGTGGCGAGTAAAAGTCTAGATGGTTTCAAAAACAAGTATGGTTATATGCAAGATGATGGTACATTTGTTATACAACCTGGAATAAAAGGAAATATCGAATATCTTATTGATTTGTTAAAAAAGAAATGTATTGAAGATGCCAAAGTAGCTAAATCTTCCAAACATAATCAATCATCATCATCAACAATAGCAAAATCAACGTCATCTGTTCAATAAAATAGTTCACCAGAAAAAATACCATTCAAATCTTCTAATTTATCAGTTGATGAACATAAAACATATATTATTGATACATTGAATATCTGATGCCAAAACAATAGATCAAAATTTGATTTATCACAATTATCTTTAATTGAAGGTCAACATTATTTTATTTCGATATTTAATGATCCAAGTGGTGCATTAAAATATGATATAAAGTGCTGTTGCAAAAAGTGGTCTTCATTAACATTACGACGTGGAAAAGGATCCCGCCGGATAACACTTGAAATCTGCCCATCACCAATTGAGCTGGAAGTTTTAGCACATCTACACCTACACACAAACAGAAAAAGATTAAAATAAAACTTCTTAAAAATGTTTTCTTCTGGACTTTAGCTGATTTTTATCCAAAACATTCACTAAAACTCAGTTTTCTCAGCAGCAATAAAAAATGTAAAGCTGAAATTTCATCTTAAATGTACATTAACATGACTACTTCACACAAGACAAATCTCGCTCTAAAACCAAAACTGAGATCGATAAACGATGTTCTATCTTCTGAAACTAACATGCAGTTTCCACAAGGGAGAAACAGCAGACTCCACTTGACTCCACTCTTGTAAGAAGTCCTTAGACAAAATGTTTTGGTTACTATTAGTATTTTATATATTTGCTTAAAAATCAACTGTGAAATGTAAAAAAATAAAAAAGAACGAAGATAAAAATATAAAAATCCAATACTTAATAGAAAAGATTAACTATACAAGAAAACAATAAGTGAATTACTAAGTTAAAAACATCAATTTCATATAAAGTCTAACTACGAGAGAACATTAAAGAAGTAAACGAAGAAGTACAAACAAGAAAATGTTCAGCATGTAAAAATTATCTTCTTCTGGTTTTTTTGCTGACTCTTTTGTGTTATATGAAGATTCTATTGTTTGAACTCTTCTTTTCACTTGTCTTTTAATTTTTAACGACGATGATTGTTGCATAATGCTTTCATTATTATCTGTTGATATTGAGATAGAAGATGCTGTGGATAAAGTTAAATTTGATTGAATTGTATCTGATGGTGATATAATAGGTATAAGATTTGGTGATGCGACTTGCTGAGGTACTTTATCTGATGTTGTCAATGATTGTTGAGTATTTGTTGACGATGGTAATGGTAATTGAAGATTATTTATCATTTTTTTCAATTCAGGACATACATTACTTAAACCTTGAAGATGACGATAGAAATTCGATAGTTGAAAGGATCCCGTCGGATAAGACTTGAAATCTGCCCAAGAGAATTCTATGTTCTAACGAGCAGGTTTTGTAGAGCGTGAGACGGCGAACATTTTCTATTCCTTTGTTTTGATTTTGGAACTCATTTTCCCTTACATCATTGGATAACTTCGTACGGAGCTCGTGGATGTTATAGTCGAAAAGTTTTGATCCATATCTTACTACATAAGGGTCGCACAAAAATTCTGATAGCAGATTCTGAACCATCGTCATCGACTCTCTATTCCACAGTGTCATTAGCTATGGCAAACTCAGTATAGACAAAATTTCCTATTGAGAAGGTGAAAAAAGAACGTTCTGCGAATATGATCGGAAGAACTTGTGGCCGTCATATCTCGGCAATTAGAAATAACGTCATTGTCAAATTTTCAGAAAAACTTCCTCCACACTTTAGCTACATTTTACACTGTTTCCGACAGAAAATAATTTCAGCTTATCGAAAATCAATTTTTTTTAATATAACTAAAAAAGCGCTTCTCACTGTTTTTTCCACTTCCACGGCGGAAATAAACGTTTTTTAAGCATCGGCAAATTAAATGCTAATCGAAAGAAGTGTATTTTCCAGTATTAAATAGTACCCAATAGGAGTTTGATGGATACTATTTTTACGCAAGTATCATCCTTTTTGAGTGCAAATAAAAGTCATCCCCCGAACCAAAGTTTAAGGCAGGTCACTCACATGAGCGAAAAGCATACCGAAATCAGAGGCTGAAGCAGATGACTTTTTTCTATTATTTCTTTTATTTAGTTCCTATAAAACTTTTCTATAATCGAGTGAAAACTTGATAAAGAATTTTAAAACGAAAATGAGCTCAAAAGTAAAGATTAAATGAGAAAGAACTGAGAGCGAATGTTTATCCTTCTATTATGAGAGGGCGTCGGCGATTCCCTTTTATTTTTTTTTAATATTAATTAACCATTATCATCTGATTCATCTTCCTGTCCATGTCCGTTGTTGACGAGAAACTCTACTGATCGCTGAATTCGCTTTCTTCCTTCAGAGGGTTGAAAATTGTTATGACGGCCATATGCTAAGTAATGCACTACTGGCTATATGCGCGCACGCTCCGACGGTACGCGCACCAGTTTTACACTGACAGTACCAGGCTGGAACTGGATCACCTTGGTTAGAATATTGCACCCAACAATAGTACAAAGTGCTGTTTTTGTGTCGGCTTTGAATTCTACACCGAATACTTTCGTCAGTTTCTGTTGAGACCTGAATTGAGAAATTACCATCGTCTGACATACGCTCCTCCGCATACGTAATACTCGGTTTAATTTGACATGACCCGAAAAAGAGAAGTTTCAGATCATCTAAATCCATAAGAGGAAAATCAATATTTGCTTCATCTATTTCACTCCATCGTTGCCGTGCACTGATTTTTCCTGTTTCAATCAACGCTAAAAGAGTATTACATTTTCCTTTTCGATCTTTCATTGCTGCTGCTACAAATACTGCTTGGATTTCTAAAGAGTTATGATTTTGTACGATGGCTCCACGACAACAATTCAAACACGCTGAAATAATTCTAATACAATATTCGAGTTTAGGAAGCATTTGATTTTCAATTCGATCGCTAAAAAACCGCCAGTTTTTGAATCGAGCATGGAAAGATTCAACGGTCCATCTAACTTTGGTCACCAAACGCGATTCATTCGCCTCCAGAGTTGTATGTTGCTTGTTTCCTTTTTCTAAATAATATGGCATTTTAACCTCGTAATCTAAATCAGTGAAAACCTGAACAACATCTCTAAAAATCCGGTCTACTATCATCGTATCGCCATCCTTGGGCCAGCTTTTGAGTGAATTATTAGTTCGTAAAACGTGTTCCGTAATTGAAGCGTCGTTCTTCGTGCGTGGAACGGTCCTATAATATCCAAGATATAGCTGGTCGGTAAGACCATGGACATGAATTTAACTAAATGGCGGCTTTTTTGACCGGAATAGGTTTGTCGTTGAAATTCATGTGGACTACTCTTTCCGAGATAGAGATAAGTGCCATCTCAGGTGATTGTAACATTGTTTCCAAAAAATTCATTTGAAAAAGCTGTGTTGTGACCCATTGCTTGCAGTCGTGACAGGTGTTCTACACTTGAAAATTCGCGAACAAAGTTCTCAACGAATGCTTTTTTCACTGAGTCGAACGCAGCAGCCGTTATTTTTCGTCGATTTTCTACATCACCAATGATATTGAACAAAGAACCTATTTGTCGGAAAAAAAAATTGCTCTTTAGTTTTATACAAAATATTCCGAGCGTATTTCTGACTTCGCGATTAGAAGACGACCGAATAAACTCGCGTAGTCGTAAAAACATATCATCAAATTGTTCCTTAGGCCAACCAGTCCAAGCTTGGTAGTCTTCGTCCGTTCAACCAGGGTCCAGAAAGTCGAGCCGTGGCACTGTTGTTTCTTCCTGTATCAGCTGGAGAAGATCGTTAAAAAGCCCTAACAATTCTGTTGGAGGTAATTTTGCCATTGTTTGACTTCTGTTTTCTGTTTCGATTCACAATCAGGAGACAGACGCGTACCTAAGAAATGATCAGAACAACACCTAACGCCATGCGGTGAATAACATCTTTTTAAAACTAATAAATCGAGCCTAAACTATAAATCGGCATAGCGACTGCGCCTGCCCGAATTTCCGCTAGACAGACAATACAACGACCATGTCAAGAACCTGCGAAAATAACGTTTTCAATAGTTAATGACTGATTTGGTTCTGGTTCATTTGTGTCCATGTCTTCAGTGTCGTAATCGTTCCATTGTTGTGTGATTTCAGGGGTCTTCTTTTTCTTCTGTTCGTAGAAACGTAAGTCACAACTGATACAGAGAAAATCCCTTTTTCAAAATTTAGTGACCTATTGCCTTCGGAGCCTTGTAGCAGTTTGTGGCACCAATTGTAATGATTTGTCGAAGAAATATTCTTCGTTGCATTCCATTTTTCACAGCTTACACACTGGTTGCTGGACATTGTTAAGGTTCTTAACTTTAGGTAATATAACCTGTATACTAAGGAAATACCAAAGAGTTCTATTCAGATCTTGAAGATTTACACCTTTAAGATAGCCCTAAAGAGAGCCGTTTGCGTTTCACTCTGGGTTCGACGAAATGACGAAGTTATACTTAGGGTGATCAAAAAGTTCTCGGAATATCTATATTTTTTATTGAATGAACTGCAGTTTAAGAAAGCTTAGTATCTCAAGCAATTCTGGCGACCGCCCTCATCTAGCATGCAAAGTTTTAAGCGCTCTACTCTTTTTTAAAATATTGTTCGACACTCATCATGCTGTATGAAACAAGTCTCCTCGGTTACAGCTTGTAGTAAGGATTTCAGAACTGGGATAGCCCTTTTAGCCGTTTCAAAGAACTGAATCACCAAAAATCAGATCGTGTCGAATTAGAGAAGTAAGGTGGATGATGCATGACCATCGCTCCATGTCCCTAAAGAATGTTTTAGTATCTGTTATTGACGAATTTCAATCTGCTCTCGCTTCGGTTTTCGATTAGTTTATGTGGTGTAAATCCTGCACACAACTTTTTTCAATTTTAACCTCTTGGTTTATCCTCTAAAGAGTATCTATCGTGTGTATAGCTTTATACCCCTTTGACACCCGTGCTGTGCGACACTTAACCTTCGCCCGTATCTATCACACAACTCCGTATGAATTTTCTCTACTGTGGAGTCGAGTCTGAGCCTTGCTAAGACGTAGTATCGAATGGGTGTTGCATTCATCTGAAAATACAAAATACAAAATGAGCGCACAATCCACCAAAAGCTGACAATGAGCTCCAAATTATATAATTTAACTGCTAAGTGTCCATGCTACTCGAGTAGAGAAAAGCTTGGACAGAATGTGTTTCTATCCGGTACTTTTAAGACTATTTTGAATTAGTCATCAGACAGAAGATCACTCAAAACCCCTAAGCACTGAAATTATCAAAATTCGTTCATACCGTAAAAATTGAAAACTTTCTCATGTTACAGACCCATTGAATAAGAGGATAGAAGAAACCACTTTGTAAATCCAGAAACCTTTGATTTAATTCCGAGACGATTAAAATACTTTAAGTTTCACGGCACTTCGGCACGTCACGGAGTGCGCTTTTGTCCCCATGGCATTTAATCATACGTGAAACGATAATTTTAACAGAAAGACTTGCGCTAGGGAAGTTTCTGTGCCTTCTAACGGACCTTTGCCAGAACATTAATTTTTTTCATAAACCTTTTTATTTAGCGTTGTTAGCACTGCAGGCTGTTAACGATTCGTTTTGGGATTCTCCACTTACGAAGCTCTCTGTAGAGAAGCTGATAAACTGAACAGCTCAGCAAGGCATTTTTCTAGGAACTAAACGGAGCACAATTTTGGTTTTCGCCTTGGAAATCGTCTCCTTTTCTATTATAATGACTCTCAACACCTTTCTCCCTTTACAAAAAGAGTATACCATTCTCTTTCAAACTTAGGACAACGCTTTACTAACCGTCAATGTATCAGCGATGGACGTGGCGCCTTGCTTGAATATATTATTATTATCAATAGAAAGGCAGGTCAATGTTTTGTCGACGGTCAAGGCATCAGCAATGGTTATGACTCCTTCATTCAAGATATTATTATTGCGCAGATCGAGACCAGTCAGTGTTTTGTTGACAGTAGGTACAAGACACAGTAACCAAGTAACGAAGTAACAAAAGTAACAAAAAAAACCTCGTTGTTAGTAAGTAAGTAACTAAGTTCATTAGTAGTAACGAAGTAACCGACTAGTAAAGTTACCGAGTAACTAGTAAAGTGCCACCCCTACTCAAGAGCGACTATTTCCTACGTGATAAATACTGTCGGGAAGATTTCTTCGTCAAGTTAAGCGCGAGAGAGCTCGGGTTGATCTTAAATGAATCTAAGACATATGGGAGCAACGTAACACAGCCCAAGTTTTAATTTAGGCCGTCCTTATTTTACAGTGTTGGAAGTTCTACGCCAGTTTTTGCGCTTTTTTCGAAGTTTTCAGGTGAAATCCTTCGGAAAATAAAACCAACAAAACAGTCAAAAATCCGGGGCGGGGCGTTTAAGTAAACGCATTTAACAGAAGCAAAACTAATTTTGCGTTTTTCTCAAGACTGCTTTTTAGCTTCAGGGCTTTCGCTACGTGCAGGAATTCTCAGTAACAATAGATCGGAGAAAGAAATCTTTTTTTGATTTGTAGATAAGACCAACAGCTAGAACTTGACAGAGTCCGATTTTTAAATTATGCTCACATTTTCTATAGAAATGAGGATTTCTGTTAAGATTTTCTTCTAATAAGAAACCTGTCAAGGGTTTTTTGGACCATACTTCGTTACTTGGTTACTGTCGTTACTTTCTAGAGAAGTAACGACGTAGCGAAATAACGAAATTAGTTACTTACTAGTAATTAAGTAACGAAGTAGTTACTCGTTACTAGTTACAAGTAAAATAAAGGTAAAGTGCCCCCCCCTACATTTGAGATATAGTGGCGGTACCGTGAGGGCCCAAAAAAGCCTAGTCGTTCTTATTTTTAACACATATTTAGATTTTCCTGTTTTCAACAGTAGCGATTCCATCAAAGCTCGCAAGTGTTTCTATCGAAATTTGTCTCTCTTGATAATTCTGTATATGTAACTTTTCGTCCTGAGTTCTCAGAAAGAAAGAAGTCATACTGTAACAATACTGAACAAAATAAAAACGACTAGGCATTTTGGGCCCTCACGGTAGTGTACGACACACGTTTTAGGGCTCTTAATAAAACTATCATATCTTTTGATCAAAGCATTGCTTGGTGTTGGGAGACATCTCATTTTAACCATAAATGTTGACTCTACGAACCGAGGCACTAGAACCCTTTTTGATTCCGACATTTCTTTGAAATATCAGAATTTCAGAAAAATCAGGTTTTCAGGCCGTTTAGAAGATTTGTTCAAAATCCTCTAGAAACCAACAATAATTTGTTGATACTTTGCTATCGATTATCGGTCATGGGGAATATAATGAACATGTGCGGTACATAGGGGTGGCTTTTTACTTATTACTCGGTGTTACTTTACAAGTTTTATTTATATAAAAGTAAAGTAACACCAAGCAATCAGTAATGAACCCCTGATGGACCTACTGATAAAGAAGTATCTCGAAATATTTGTTAGCTATACATCATGCTAAGGGAAGAGTCATAACTTAAAAGACATCTAATGCAATTTAAAGTTTTTCCAAAATTTCAAAAACATCTTTTTTCTAGAAATATTTGTTCTTTGTTACTTTGTTACTAGGTTACTGTGTCTTGTACCTACTGTCAACAAAACACTGACTGGTCTCGATCTGCGCAATAATAATATCTTGAATGAAGGAGTCATAACCATTGCTGATGCCTT